AAATACATATATATATATATAAAATGCAATTTCCTCAAATAATAGAGGATTTTCAGTCCTCTGGCCAGCTGTTGGAAAATATAGTTTGGAAAACTGCCGAGAGGCCAGCTACACACAAGATCAGCTACAAAATGACAGCAGTGAGCTCGTTGCCTCCATCCCTCCTTTGACCCATGAAAGGGCAATTAAGGCGAAGGCATTGCATCCAGTTCTATAAATTCAATATCCACAAGCCAACCATGCTGGAGCATCAGCTGGGCTGGAGCAGGGCCCGAAGCAGCTGGGGCATGAGTGTAAAACTGGTTTTATTGCTGTCTCTGTGGTTTTGCAGGGGTGTGGCTGGCCAGTAGCCAGGGAGGCCCCATTGCTGTTTATATGGCTTTTCTGCAGTGATTATGTTATGGTGCCAGGATGGGGGAGAGAAAGGCGATAAGGACACGCAGAACCTTTGTGCTGTCCAGGGACTTCTCATCCTCAAAGAAAACCACTATCTAGAGGAGCTAACGGGGAGGATTCTCTGCACCCGCATTTAATACAGGACTGAAGGGTAGTGGATCAGTTATTAGCTTTCACTCCATGAAACATCCCTTTCATATCAACTGATTATTCCTTTTGCAATCAAAGCTGTGAAACAGCCGGCCCCAGAGAGTTTGCTCAGCTCCCCAGGACCAGCATGACGTGCTTCTCCATGAGCTCTGCCCTCCTCTCCAATTTCAAGGCTCCCATAAGGACATGCAGTGTAGTAGCCAGTGAAGCTGGCAAAATGATTTTTCCATGGCACAAAGCTTTGCTCATTGCTATAACAAAACTTGCTGAGCCTTGACTTTTGCTTTAGGAATAGCCCATCCCTGATAACATTTCACTGACCTTAAAGCAAAGTCCTTAAGGGAGAGTTTGCCTTTGGCCAGAAATCCTCACAACAGAGGGACTCTGTGCCCTGTAGCAGAGCAGCTGAGTGAACCCAGCAAAAGAAGACTCAGTCTCACTGAGCAGCTGCCAATGTCAACAAAGCCTCTAGTTCACCAGAAACATTGACGTTTCACTTTAAATTGGGGATTTAAACTGAAGGGTGGGAGGAAAAGATAAAAAATCTTTCTTTGTGACCAGCCCTAGACACCAAAGTCCAGACCTGGCCAGAAATAGAAAGGGTAGACTCTTAGCCAACAGGGATCATCCTGCAGTTGACATCCTGGGAGTCAAAGGCCTTATTATTCCCACAAGAGTGGCTAAAATGCCATTGTGTGGGTGGGCAGTTGCACAGGTCATTGGTGCTTCCCTCCAATTCAGTAAGCCAAAAGAGTAATACATTCTTAGGGATGCAACCTTGAAAACGTGAAGATTCCTCCATTCATGGTTCCAAAGCAGGACAGCGCGACAAGGACAGGGACCACGGAGATCAGGCTTTTGAAGGCTCGCTGCACAAAGCTCTGGAGGAAGGGCAAGCATGACTTTAGGAACACATGGTGATCTCTGGACATCAGATTCAACAGAAAGAAACTTTCCTCCATCAGAGTGAAATATAACTCATAAACCTTGCCTTTTCTATATGATCTACGGGTTATTTTTCATTATGTTTTAGGCAAGACTAGAAGAGGTTACTGTTGCCCAATAATCCAGAGAAATGACAAAGCAATAAAGCATCTTATAGGAAAACCATCTCCAAAACACTTGCCACAACCACCCCTTCAGCATAAGCTGATCACAATAAGAAAGATAACGGTAGGGGTGACAACTCACCACAGCCACAGCAGGAGAAGCCAGAACGTCTTGGGTTCCCAGGACTGTGTAATAAGAGACGTTGGTGAGCATGTACCCCACAATTACCGTGATCACAGACACAATGACAGCCAGGGGGATATTTCTACAAGAAAGGGGAAGAGACACGCACAAAGAAGAAGCCGTTATCCCTTGTTATGCACAGTATTACTGCAGATTGCAGCTATCATTGGTTGGGTGAATCCACAAACTTATTTCCTCCCATACTATGTTTGGGAAAGCCGCAATATCACAGAGGCTGGTAACCCAAGATGACTTCATCCCAGCCTTACCGTTCAGGTCTGACCAACTCTTCACGCACAAAGCCAGTCTGAAACCTGCACGGTGAGAAGAGACAGGGAGAGAGCTTGAGCCATGTCTTGGACAGCAGCCTGCTGCCCATGAAGTGCCCTCCTGTCGCACCTACCAGCCTGAATATGCGAACATGCCTGCGTAAAAAGCCAGGGGCAGCTTATCCAAAACCAGCGACTGTCTGTCAAAAGCACCCTGGAAGTTTTCAGTGTGGCCTGCAGAAGAGATAAACAACAGACATGGAACAGGGAAATGTCAAAGATGGGCTTCTGTCCCACGGGATAGCACCCCTTGTACCTCTTGCCCAGAGCTGGGAAGAGTGTTTGTGACTTCGTTGGAGCCAGGTATTCAGATTTGTTTCATTGCTTTAATTTGCAGTGCTGTGCTGACACATTTACTTCACAAACAGCGACAGAACAAATCCATCCTCCATCCAGCTACGGGAGACATTTCAGAAAGGGCAACAGTGGCTGCTAGTTCTGTTTCAGACAGAGCCTGCTGTGGGAACAGGAGATCATGGAGACAAGAGGACCCAAGTTGTCCTGTCCTTTCTTTAGGCCCAAAATTAATTCACTAGGTTGACCCCCCTTCTTCTCCCTCCCAGCCCCCTAAGCAGCTGGATACACACTCCTCTTTGATGTGGTGCAGCCAGCGAGGCAGCTAATTCGGCTCTCACTGTGCTCCCTCCTACCCCGCTGCCGGAGCACTGGCCCCAGCCCCACACTGGCCGGAGCATGGGAACCAGCGCGGAGGAGGGAGCAGGAGCAGAGACTGCCAGCCTGCCCCCCTCTCCCAGGTACGATCTTTGCCCACCGTCCCTCCCAGCTGCCATGGCTCATCCACAGGAGGAGGAACGGAGGACACAGAGGGCAAAGCAAGCAAAATCTAAAAAGTAGAGGTGGCTCAGATAGAGATCCTGATTTACCAGCCCCCCCCCCCCGCCCCCCCAATTTTCCTAAAAGTTCTCTGCTTGAACACAACAACAAAAGCAAACAAACCAAAAAAAAAAAAAAAAAAATCAAAGTCAGGAATTTGGATAGGAACTCTATTTTATCACACTCCAAATAAACCTAGGGATGACCTCTCACTCAAAGGAAGACTGATAAAAAATGCAGTCAAAAGGAGCTGCATTTCCAACATTTTCAAATCTATGTGGCCTAGGACCCTAGGTTCCACATCTATATTCAGTTTTCCATATCAAAGCCTCTTTAAAAGTAAAAGGTGCTGAGCTCGCCTAGGTGGGCTTCACCAGGGAAGGGATGAAATGGCACAGAGCACACGAAGAAAGTCAAGCCACTTCTATGGAGGTGCCTCTGCAAGGAGCTCTGTGGCGAGATTTGGGCATTTGAATTTGAAACACTGTCCCAGCCAGTCTCTAAAACAAACCTGAGCCAAGGAGAAGGTAATGGCAAAGGAAAAGACAAGAGTGTAACCAAAAAAATCAGAACAAGGCAGGGGAATCAGGCAAACTGATTTTTAAGCACAAAAAAACAAGTCAGAAAGAAAATAGATTTGACGAAAACTAAACCAAAATATAGAAGTGGGCCTACTGGGGTAGCCTTTTTATGTTCTAAAATGATTGCTGGTAAGTGATGGTGCACAGGAAGGATTTATTGTCTGCAATGCATTAATGAGCGATTTACAGTCCCTCATGAGTCGCGTTAAATACAGCCTGTCATATTGGGGTCTCTTGGTGAGTTCTCCCTCCAGATGTCACCAGCACTTATCCTCCTTGCTGGAGAATGGGTGCCAGGGCTCCAGATTGTCATTTGAAGGCATTCCTAAAAATAATGGCTCGGGATTTCTAGCTGCAGGGCAGTCCTTCAGTTCAGAACTTCTGCCAGCCAGAGTTGATCTTTGTGTGTTCAAAGGAGCCAGACATCAGAAAGAAACCTGAATGTGGAGCCTACTGCCTGTGTTGTTTTCTCTGCAGAAGAAGGTAATAGCATGAAGAGGGAGCAGGCTTCATCCCTTGAGTGGGAATGCCTTGGGCTTTTCTATAAACTGAGGCTTGGATTAAAGCCAATACTCTTATATCATTCCCAGAAGATACTACTGGTAGGGTCTTTTTTTTCCCCCCATTCTGGATGTGACTGTGCAATCCTGCACGAGGCATTGTAAGTTTACTAAGTTACTGCCCATCTCAATTAGGAGGTAAAAACCTTTATCTTGTGCCACAGAAATGTTAGAGATGCAGTTACCAGGGCTCAGCTGAGGGCCAGTAACTCATTACCCAGCTGTGATTGGCTCAGGTCACCACGGGATGCTGTCACACATCCCTGTGTCCATCAAATTTGTGCTGCTTTGGAAGGATTTCAAGTCAGGCTGGAAACAGGCAATTCTGACACCAAAGACCATCTGCAGAGGAAGGTGCATGTATGACCCTGGGTAGGCTCACACAGCCTCAGGCACTGAGGCTCGCTGTTTTGGAGAAAGCACAGCTGAGCCAGCTGCATCAGCCCAGTGCAATGATACAGCTTAGTGCCAACTACCCTGGTTTCAGCTCCCAGTAAATTCACATCCAGCACACAGGAAAGCTCCTGCCAGATAAAGGAGTACCACACTTGTCACTAGGGACCAATAAAAGCTGTGACAGGCGGGCATGTCAAGCAACCTCCCTCCCTCTGCCACACAGCAGCACACCTACCCTGCGCCAGCAGCATCATCCCTGGCACGATGATGAGTGCAAGAGCCAGGAGTTTGATGATGGAGAGCGCCGTCTGCAGCCGGGCACTCCAGGTGACACTCCAGGAATTGAGGGTGAGGACCGTGTCTGGAGAGGAGACCACATTGCTACAGCTGTAGCTCATGCTTGGTGGACACAGGAAAAAAAATACAGCAGCACTCCCTGCTCCAGGGATGCCGGGGAGAAGGCTGCATCTTTACAGAGAGGATGCTCGGGGCAAGAGGTGTCAGAAAACATTACAGGTGTGGCCCAGTGCACAGCGTTTGAAGGGGGAGCTGAGTTATGCTTCTAAGAGGGGCCAGGAGCCCGGTTCCTGTCCAGTGATCCATGCCTGCCGCGGGGGAAAAGCGTGAGTTTGCAGGCATGTCTCAGCAGTCCCCTTCACAGCAGTCCCTGTGCCACCACACACCAGCTCAGAGCAGGCAGGATAGCTTCACAGGCTGGGTACACCAGGCAAGGAGTCCAAAACTTCGAGCCTTACACCCTCAAACCAGGTAGCATTTGCACAATTATACATGAAGAGTTTCTACTCCTGTACTTGACACAATTTACCCTCGAACCTAGGGATCCAGCTGGTCAACAGAGAGGTCCAATTTCCCTTCTTGGAGAATACAGTGGCCCCAAACCAGCGCCTTAGATCTGGAAGTTTCAGGTGGCCAAGGAGTTAAGACGGGGCCCCGATCCCACAGTTATCCCAGAAGATAACACCCCGTAAGTGCCCCTGGTCTGAGGCAGAGAGGGCCCAAGACAAGCAGTCCCACAAAAGTTAGTACTTACAGTACCCCAGGAGAGACACGAGCTTCACAGCAGGGACAGGGGCTGCACAGGGGGCAAAAAACGGCTCCAGCATGTAGCGTCCAAATGCCAAAGAAACCACAGCGCTGTTGGCAGGCCTGGGGGGGCAACCGAGCACAAACTGGTCTGCAGACAGCCAGAGAATGGCATGATGTAAAACTGCACAAAACTCGGGAGGGGGGAGAAGTTTCCCCACCCACTTAATCCTTCTTTCCCGTGGTGAATTCCTGTAGAGTCTTTTTCATAGGTTTTTCTCAGTAAATGGATTAAAAATAAATAAATAAAATAATCGCATGCTGCAGAAAGATTAATTCCCAACTTGAAAGCAAAAGTTGAGATTAATCATACTGAGCAATACAGTGTGGTTGCTATGTCCTGCTTCAATTCAGCTTACATGAAGGACACATGTTATTGAGAGGCAAGGACTTTCTTTTTAAAGTTAAAAAGAAGTCATTTACAATTTTCTAAAATATTATTTAACTCAGGGCTAAGTCAAAAAGTGGTCTCCACAAGAGAATCCAAAAAAGTTTCACAATGAAAACAGAAGATCTGAAATAAATCTGGTATCTATTTGCAGTCTCTGAAAAATACCATGGCTCTTGGAGGATACCAGCTGCCAGGAGAGAATAGAGATATTCTTAAACTACAGATCACATTGAACATGTATAACAATTTACTCATTATACCTTCTTCCTTCTATCACTGAAAACTAAAAGGTGTTCAGATTGTTTCTACTCTCTCCTTTACAAACTGCCTAGACTGCTACCTGGCACCATAACTTTGGGGTTTTTGAATCGTCATAGTATCCAGCAAAAGGCAAACAAACAAAATCTCTTACCTGATAGCAAAAAACTCTGCCCACAGGAATAAGAAACTTGGCAGAGGCCCTAGCGTCTCCAAAATGTAGATATAATGTCCTCCAGACTTGGTGATTCTTGTTCCAAGCTCTGCATAACATAAGGCACCTGGAAAAGTTCAGGTAGAAATGCACAGAGTAAATCGTCCCATGGATTTTCTCTTTTCTGTGTGAATTTTCAGGGATTGAATAAATCTGTTTAAAATAAGTAGTGAATTTGAGGAAGAAAAATGGGTTTAGCAGGACCACTTTTCCCTATTTTTGTGTGCTACAGTGTTTTGAAGTAAGTTTTGAAGTAATTGACTTTTCTGTCAGAAGGAAAGAAATTCTCCATTTTCTGGATAATGATACAATTTTTTTCATGGAAGTTGTCTAGAAAGATGTGTGTTGGAAATGCTGCAGGAGGTTTCCTTTGCAAAATGTCCTGGAGGACTGGATTCTCACTTCTCCTCACAGTTAGGCTGGTGAAATGGTGCTTACAAGGCAGTTACAGCAGCTCAGCTGAAAGGCTGTGGCTGAACTGGTCATTTCAATCAAGTTTTTGATCACAGACCATCTTGCATTGTCCTTATCTCACATCTTCATACAAATCCTTCCTTCATTTGAAGACACTGGACAGAGCTCCTGGAAGGGCATCTCCTCTGAGAGGGAAAACCTGCCACCGGAGGAAAACACACACCCCCACTGGTGCAGAGCAAGGGAAGCATCTGCCTGAGAGCCTCAGCCGTTCTCTTCTCACACGTTCCTGTACGAGTGCACAGATAGACCTGGGGACTGTCTGCTCCTGCTTTGACAAGCATCTCTGTGCCTCCCTGCCCCTGTACCAGGGTGGAACAAGAAACCCTGGGAGAGGAGCAACAGAGAAGACAGCTTAAAACTCTCAGGCAAATAGACAGAAACGTTTACGCTTCTGCCTGTGCCAAAAAAAAATCCCATCGGTGTTTTCCCTATAGAGCAATTCATCATGCCATTTGAACATGTCTAAGTACGAATCTTAAGTCCTGCCTACACTGAATTGACTTGCTATTTTAAACATCCACTGCTCACCAAAAGAAATCACAAAACACTTCACTACTTTGAGCACAACTCTCCTTGCAGCAGGGCTGAGCACTGTTGGAATGTGACCATGTGGGGTAGGAACATCTCTAGCTGTGCTATCTATTTCTTTGCCCAACTCAGGCGGCTGTGGAGAGCGACCACAGAGGAACTCAGTGGTGATACGGCCATGCCTCCAAGTCCCGTGGCGATCGTGCCATATTCAGGTCGTTCTGATGGTGAGGACCTCCATTTTTTTCCACCTCTCTGTTGGCAAATTTCTGCAAAATTGCTATTCAAAGTGTCGGATATAAGTAGACACCTCATCTCATTCATTCCAGTGGGTCTTCTTACACGCTTCAAGCGTGCATTTAAGTGCTTTGCTGAACTCGTGCTATGGGACTCATATAAATGCCGTACTTGAAAGAAAAAAAAGCATGAAAGAAAAAAAAGCATAAAAGAGAGCAGTCCTTCTTTATGAACTGCAAAAAAGTGTCAGAGGAATGATCACGGAAGGTCATCAAGCTGATAAAAGGGAAGAACAAACCAACAAATTTGGCTTCAAAATACAATAACTTAATGAAGAGGCTCCCAGGGACTTCCAGCAGGGTCTATCAAAGGATGCAACAGAGAAAGAAACCTTTCCAAGTGCAGAGCTTGGGCTATGTGATCAGCACACACACTGATCAGCTCAGTTAAAAGAAATACCGTGCTCACGTTATATTTTAAGATTTTCTCTAAGCAAAAGTGTATAACTCACCAACCAACCACACATAGGCTGCAACATGAAATACCGGTACGTTTATGTTAAAAGCAAGAACCACATATGTTGCCATATTAACATTGAATGCCTTGATTTCTCAACTTGCATGTACACGTCACAGTACCGAAATGGGTTTTTCCACATGGAGTAATTCTCCTTTCTTGTTTTTTTTTCCAAAGTTATGACAGAACAACAACTTTAAAGTCACCCACTGAAATAAATGTCAGATTTCTCCCCAGAGCAGAGAGATCTTGCGGTTCTCCCAACAGCACCTTTAAAACATTTCTGAGACTATGCTTTTATACAGTTAATGAAAGAAGCTAAAAGCCTAAAGTTTTATCCATCATCACTTAAACAGCTATGTTATTTCAGAAGAACTAGAATGAAACTGCCAGCAAAAAGTCAACCCTTTGTGAAAAAATTCTGATAAGAATATCTGCGAGATAAGGACAAGGGTAATGCACAGAAAGCAGGGCTGAACTGCTGTGCTCCATCTCATGTCCCATGGCAGCATCAGACATATCCAAACCATTTCTGATCCCCAGACACCCACCCCTGGCTGGTGGATACACTGCAGCTCCCCAGGCAATCTGCTCTGCTGTTTCTCTATCCCCACCAACAGAAAGGGGATCCCTTGTGGCATATTAAGACTGTCACTTCTTGCCCTTTTCACAGTGTCTATGAAAAGCACCGCACAGCCCTCGGGCTCACAAGTGCCTTTTAGATGCCTACATCTCCCTTCCACCTTATAGAACGAGTCCCCTCATCTTCTCCCAGCTTTTCTTGCAGAGACTCTGTTAACTCTATCTGCAGTCGTTGTAACTGCTCTGCCCTGGACTTGCGTATGACTTCATATTTGCAGACCATAAGTGCTGGGATTTTCTCAATCATCCCAAGGGATCCATTTGAACTAAAGACCCCTGGTAACCCCCCTAGACTCATTAAACCTTTGTTTCTGTTGCAGTAGGAACAGGGAAATTTTGGGTTATTCTTCTCCTGACTTTTTACACATAAAAATGTACTGGCTCCCCTCACCTCCCAGGTGCTTAAGCAAAGGCTGACAAAGCTCCCCACTCACCACACAGTGAGAGAAGCCCACAGGCAAACCAGACGACCAGGGAGAAACCCACGCTACCGGAGTTTTTCAGTACTCCTTTTGGGGAGATAAAAATGCCACTGCCAACCATGCTGCCAATGAGCAGTGAGAAAGCCCGCAGCAAAGTTATCTTCTTCCTTAGAAAGACAGCCTCTTCTTCTTTCTTATCTTTCCCCATGGCTTTCTTCTAGTCCCAGGGCAAAGTCATGCGTTCAAGACCTACAGTCTCCCAAGTGTCCTCAAGGCTCACCTGTAAGACGAGGAAAGAGTTAGGGATTCAGGTGTCTTATTTTCTGGACAAGATTTTTCGCAGAAACCTGTGAAGATCTGTTGAATCTGTTCTCTTCAGCTGCTGAATGCACCAACCAAACCACAGGTGCATATAGCACACTCAGTATCATCTCTCACATCAGTACAGCTCCTGAGAGGGACTGTAAATGTTTTCTGCCTCTTCTGCCAAGGAGCACAGAGCATTACAAGTTGCATGCCACACTTCAGGATATGATTTCCAAACTCAGCTTTAATGTCCAGACTGGAACTGGCCAGGTTAAGGTTAATGTAATGGGACCTAACTTGGCAGAAAGCAGATTTCAAGTTGCAAATCTAATAACCAAGACCCTGAGAATCTCTGAAGTTAAAAAAAATTTTTTTTTTTTTTTTTTTGAAGAGCAAAGAGCGCTGCTTGTTGGGGTACACAGGCGACTTAAGCTTTTTTAATTTCCTTTCCATCCTCACTGAATGAGCAAACCCCAGTTTTCTCACTAGGGCTTCATTTCACCAGTGTTTCTTAATATATGGTCAAGCCTTTTTGCTATCGGAGTATTGGAGAGTCAGGAATAAGTACTGTTTACAATTGTAAGACAGAGCATAGCCATTAATAGCAGGCATGTCATTTCTTCTATTAATATAAAAACTTTCTTGGCAATAACGGGAGGACTGAAGTTTTTCCTAGAACATAGGGAACTTCAGACAGTCCAGGGATCACACGAGTTGACCTAGATCCACACCTCTTGCTCTGCAGTAATCTTCTACTTCACTGTCTTGTCTCTTCCAATCTCTGTCTCTCTCAGTCCTAGGCTGGTGCCTTCACCAAGAAACTCACCTTCTGCTTACATAGGCAAGACGAATTCACACCAGCTACTACAGTCTAATTTGCTGTAGGAAACCTGTTCGTGGTTTTCTTAACAGCAAGGTAGATATTTTGCGTTGCTAATTAACCCTGGTAGAGCAGACAAGACAGGTCTGTCTGAAGTAGATATTTTGGCTCCTGTTCCTTCTCCTGCCACACAGCTCCTCCAATGCTCACAGGCTCAGCTTTAGCCTTTTTTTTTTCATTATTCTAAAGCAGTAAATTGCAGGTATAGTGAATATTTGCCCCAGCCCCATGGCTGTATACTATCGCAAAGTTACACTGTACGTGAGACCAAATTTTATGGATTTCTTTAATTATTTAATAATTGCAGTAGTGTGTCCAAGAGCAGGTAGCAGTCACCTATAGAAGCAGACCTAAGCAGCCAGAAATTATTTTCTTGATAGTCTGTATTTTCCATCCATAGATATAAATGTTCCCATAACTTTGAGGGGAAAATTCTTGTTACCACTCACCCACAATAACTCTTTGTATGCACTATATAAACTCAGTATAACTAAGGGCTTCTGTCCCTCATCCCCAGCTATTTTCCCACCTGGAAACCAGCAGGAAGAAGCAGGGGTTATCACTTTCTCCACATACATATGAACAGCACATGCAGAAAGCCCTCTCTCCTGCCAGCAGCTTTAGCTGTTTTCTCTGAGATCACGCCAAGCCTGCACAAGCATCTTCTCAATCAAACCAGCCAAGTTTAGTTATTAAACTTCTAATGAGTCCCGGAGGACTCCTTAAGGCTCAGATGTGTCACATCAGCTTCGCCTGGTCCCGTAGAGCTGCTCCTTAGAGTCCCAAAACCTCACAAGGCTGCTGGAGACAGTGACTCTGGAGGGGCAGGGAAAGACACCCGGGAGCTTCCTGAGCCGTCAGCTGCAGTTCCCTCAGATGCCAACTAATTAGCTCACGTGAAATACCGATATCATCTGGTATTTCTCAGCCTAAAGGAGAGCCGCAGAGCATTCATTTGCAATGGTGAAACACAGAGGGCTCACCAAAATGAAACCAAACTGAAGAGAGATGTTGTGCACAGTTATGTCTAAAATGCTGTGTGAGAGAATTAAAAGGGCACTTATCTGTTTGGCTGGGTTTTAAACAAAGCAGGTGCATTTACAATCCATCAGACTCTCATTTCTTGCTGGGATCCCGAAGCAGCAAAAGACAGAGTTTCTTTTCAGGCTCTGAAATTACACAGAGGGAGGGAGGAACAAAAAAAGGAGAGATCAAATCAAATTTACAGACCAGGTTAATGATCCAAAGTAAATACCAAACTCCATACTTCTGTCCACATGCTTTCTTTTTTTTTTTTAATACTACTGCCATGCAAAAGTATTTGGAGATAAAACAGTCCAGCCCAGCAAATTTCAGAAATGTGAAATCCATCAGGATTTGCTCCAGAAGCTGTTGAACGAGGGGAAAAGGAAAAAAAAAAAAAAAGACAAGAAACAAAAGAGTAACAGAAAGCTATTGAATAGCACTTCAAAGAGACACCTAGCAGAGCCCACCACCTGGAGAGACCATTCCTGCCTGCCGTGCTTTCCAGCTACATTCCAGCACCAGGCACATTAAAACGCAGAGATGTTAATCCTTGTGGCAATGCTTAAGAATATTCACAATGTGCTTAGCACAAAGGAAACACACAAAACTGCTTTTTGTTCACCCTTTTGACTTAAAGCACAGCCTCAAATCCTTCTCATTCCAAAATTCAATACCTTTGCGTGAGTTCCTCTGCTAGCAGGACTGGAAAAAAACAAACCCATTTCACAACCTTTCACACCTGCTGGACCTTTACTCTCTCGTTCTTTATTTTTACCCATTTCTTTCTTTTTTTTTTTTTTATTTTTAGCTGTTAATCTTACCTCACAGGCACTGCAGCATGGATGGAGATGGAGACAAGCATAAAGGGAAAACCATATTTGTTATTCACAGTGGTGTCTAGAGGCCCCCGCTGAGAGCAGGACCCATCATGATCAGCACACAGGCAGAGTAGATGTTACTCTGCTGAAAAGCTAGTGATACAAACAAGCAAGTTGGAAAAAACAGGGGAGGGAGAAAGCACCATTCCCAGCTGGGGAGCTGAGACCTAGAGCAACTAATGACCTTCCTCCTCCTATCACGCAGCAAGCGGGTGGTGGCATCCCTCCGAAACAGATCCTACCTCCAGAGTCCCTGTTCAATGACTTACCCCCCAAAAAACCCCAGCTACCAGAGAATACTCCTAACTACTTACAGCTGTATTTTCTTTGCATGGGCCTCAATCAATACCATACAGCCAAGAATAGGTTAACCCCTTCCATTTCATACCACAAAAGATGCAGGCATCAAATTATTCTCCGTGGTCCCACTACTTTTTTTTTTTTTTTTTTTTTTTGGTTCCAAAAACGTCACTCCAATTCAATGTCCACCACAAGGCACAGGATCTAACTAAATAAAATCAGTAGTGAATGGGACCTTTTTTATTCATGCATGAAAGTAGCATAAATAAGCTTTAATGAGACTGGTGGTGGTCTGTTCTGGGAACTCGATCAGAAAATCTATTTAGGAGACCTGAGAGATGTTTGTTTATAGACCAAAATGAACACAAGAAACAGGCTGAAAAGACAAGACATGCCACTCAGCTTCTTTTCAGCTTTCTACATCTGGTTTACCACCCTGGATAAGGAACAGAAAGGGACAGTAGTTAATAAATCAGACTCCTGCTTGCAGCCCGAGATGTGGTAATAAATTCAGGCTGATTGCCTTAGGTGTAAATTTAAGAATAATTTCCATTGTCTCCTCTTTCTACAGTTTCACAAATTTAGTTTCATAAGTTGTCTATCAAAAGACTGCTGTTTCCTAACATCTCTTTCTTAATTTAGATATTTTTCTTTAAGCCTTGACAACAAAATAGGTCTTGGCTCAGGTCACACCACTTTTATCATCTCATTTAGGCATTTCCAGTTGTCCCTTGGACAAGAGTGACTTTTTCTGGAAAACAGACTGATGAGGTGGCGAATCTGGACTTCTTGATGATGTGATGATGACCTTTTAATTGAGAACCTGAAAGTGTTGAATCCACACTTTGGCTCTTTGGTTAGAATTGGACTAAACTGAGTCTGTTTTTCAAGCAAAAAAAATCCTGTTGCTTTTAAAGTTCCTTCCTAGCAGGATTTATATCCTACACCAAGTTTAAAATTCTTCATTATGACCAATCTGCCAAAGCAGCCATTACAAGTGGAGATGGTTTAATAATAGTAGCACTGATTTATTTTCACAAGTTGTACAGGCCCTATGGTGTCATCTCACTTTTCTAAACATCCGAGTGTAACTCTCGATCCAGCTCCCACAAGACACACACTTTTGTGCATCCAGAACTGATTTTCCATCAATGTTGTGCAGGAACATTGGCTCTTTCATGAGCATTTTGTCCTTTCATGTTGCCAGCGACAGGCAAAACACAAATATGGGAGAGACGCACACTCAATTAAAAGAGATTCAACTCTTCTTCTACAGCACCAGCTATAAAAGATATTAAAGACTACCAGAAAGATGCACCAGTATCCCTGTGAAATGAACTAACATCATTCCTCTTTCTTACAAGCAGGAGAAGGGAATACCACAGGCACTTGCCTCCCTGCACATCAGAACCAAAGGACCTGAAGGAGCAGCACCCAGAGAACCAGGCACTGGGGCACATAAATCCTAGGAAAAAAAAAAGCCACTTAACAAGGAGATTGTCTCACATAGTAATGCTTGCTGAGGCCAGCATCTTGGCTCTATAATATTTCTTGTGGGGCGCAGTGTAGGG